GTTGTAAGGAAATGTGGAGACCAGCAGGAGCTGCCTGAGTACAATTTTAAAACAGTATAAAAATACATTAAAGCTTAATCACAAGTTTAAATGCAAAGAAAATATTTTATATCAAAATTTGCGTCTTGAAGGCAAACACTTGCAAGGTTAATATAGCACGTGAAAGCTGGTTACGTTGCACGTCTTAGCTCAGTAAGGAAATTTTACTGAACAAAAGTATCTTAAGAGGTTGGGCTTTATTGAAGTGCCTCATGAGCTCGGACTGATTTTCCTCGATTGGTATGGTAGTGAATAAAAGTATTCCGTACGGTATATGCACTTAATATTATAATAGCGTAGTCTTATTCGTCGATTACTTCGACTCACAGACTTCTTTTGGCTTTTCCTAAGTTAAGCGATAATGTACTGTTTATGGTATGTTCAGGCATTTTATTTTAACCAAATATGAGGGGTAGCTTAGCTCTCGAACTGACTTGCAACGCGCTGAACTAAAGCGCAAACGGGGCGTTCTAATCACATGCATAAATGGTAACATTGCGAATGCAGAGGTGATATCATAAGGTAATCAGCCTGTGAGAGCTACCACGGACCTTCATTTTGAGGTCAGCTTTGACCCCAGGATGGCTTCAGTCATTACAGGAGGGAGGCAAATGTTCCAATGCCACATTGCTGACGGCGTTTAATCGCTGGTTGTGGTAAATCTCCCCGGTCAGTGGAAATTCAGTACCTGGCTATATATGCATGCTGTCTGTTGGTCTTGATTTGTGTTGGCTGCCCTCCCTTAAACCGTGTAGTATCGTTGGATTCTCTCATCTGCCAATACGCAGACGTAACTCGCCACACCACAGCCCAATGTCATAGACGTCCTTCACATCAAAGCTCAGTGCCCACAGCCCAGTGGCTTCACCATAGGTATCTGCGGGCATCGTATCCGCTGTGATTCCCAGGAGTGCCCTGGCACTGATGCCCTGGCTCCCTCTCGATCGCTATCAAGTTTAGACGTCCCTACGTCTGCTGCAGCAGCACACAAACGCCACCGCACGTGCTTATGGCTGCACCGAGCTTCTGTCTAGCTCTCGACGTTCGCCGGCTCAGTGTAAACGCCGCGAGCCAGCACAGGGCGCGGTCTGCGGTCGCCCCCCGCCTCGGAGGCCGTGTGGATGCTCACAGAGCAACAGAGGTGGAGGTCAAGTGTGCGACCCGTGATACCGGCATGTCTCATGGCCTTTTGTTCGGAAATAAGTGGCTTGGTGAGTTATGATGAAGCGGCAGCAGTCTCCGGCTTTTATGCTGGAGGGTTGGCTACTGGACTGGAAGGCGCTCAAAGGCCAGCATAGTAATTGGATCGCCCTCAGCGATCCAATCGAGGGTCCGATCGACGCTTCCCTCCATCCGGAATGCATTTGGAACTTTTCCGTTCACCGTGCGCTGTCTAGCTATACAGTGGTGTTACCGTGGACATTGGTAACATGCGCGCTGGCTTAATGAGCCGTTTCCGGGGCCGGACTGGAGCGGCGACGGCTACATGCTGTTCCCAAGCCGGTCATAACAACCCAGCCAAGCAACCATTTAACGCGTGTTTGCATACGCCAACTCCACCCAACCGGCCGTTGTTGGTCCGCACAAATCCCTCAGCTTGTATCAAGGTGTTATAGATTTATCGGGAGACTTCATCGCTATACTCTGGCTGTGGGTGTTGGATGGCTCGCTCGTCGGACCGAAGCGGCAACTTAATTGATGCATTTGGGCGTGGGTGTGACAGCCGTTTAATTCCAGAATGGCGGACGGGATCAGCGCAGGAACTCACACACCTGCAAGTGAAAACACGTCAGCCCTGACCTTTCAGACGCTCTCTCCGTCTGCGGTACGACGCCATGTTCCCAACAGGCGGCTGCCTGTCTTGATTACTGCCAGCCTTCAGGAATGATTCAACAAACTAACAAGCGCTTTCCTGGACCACGCCATGAGGCAGCATTTGGGAGGTCTTAATGAAGTCTGTCTCATGACAATGTAATAGCGTCGCGCATGTGTATTATGCAGGCAACGCATCGCTGATGCCTTTGTATGTGTAAGAAAAGACTAAGGCTGGTCCTTCAAATCGTCCAAATGTCAAGGACACATGCTTCTGGCAGGATATTACCGTGATGTCATAGTGTGGTTTCTTTCGGGTCTCGAGTGACATATAATTGGAGTCATAACGGATTTGCATGCAACTTTGACATGTGCTGTGTGTATTTTTTAAGGAAATGTAACGTGATGCAGACATGCTGTCAATGCGCGTGCAGACATGCTGAGCCAACCTGGACAAGATTGCAGGGACATTTGTCTAACATATGCTAATTGTCTGCACCCGAGTCAAGAAACCGTGCTTTTACCCCTCATTAACAGACTAGCACATTGGGATACGAGGCATCTTTGATACCCTCAAATCGCACACACACGTCAGGTAGTGAGCAATAATCAGATGTGACAGCATCCAGTTGTGGTAAGGCAACACTGACAGCCTTATTCCTAGCATAATCTTAAGCTAGCGCGCACCACACATCAAGACATTATGTGCTTGATTATATGAATGCGAGTTGTAATATTATCTATTATATATTCTATGTATTCCATACTATATTATCTAGTATATTCATGATAATGTGATTTATTATACACTCAACCTGAATATGACAAGTGCCCTGATGTGTGATGCGTGCCAGCTTAGAGCCGTTTACATGTATGGGTGATGCCTGACGCGTGATGTGCGATGCCTTTTTGATTTAAATCGTTTGCATGTATGAGTGATGCGTGATGGCTGTTACTTGAAATAAGTTTAAATTGCATGAAGCGTGATGCGTGATGCGTGTTTACTTGAATTGGTTCGCATGCATGTATATTCTTCATGCTTTTTGATTGATAGATAGATGTGCACTGCATCGCAGTAATGGCTGGCAATCGCTCCTCGTTCAGTCGCCTGAATGTTGGTGGTCTGTAAAGAATTGTGAAAAACTAAGAAATAGATTAACACGGACAGGCAATTTAGAATTTGCTATAGATATTCGCTTGCTGAAGGCATGTAGGCTAAATATCAATCCATGTATCTCCCCATTCTTCTCGGTTACTCTATGAGGAATGGGGCTATTACTAATGCATTTATCTATCTATCTATCAATCTAAGGCGTCTTCTTAAGAGGTTGGGCTTTATTGAAGTGCTCATGAGCTCGGACTGATTTCCTCGATTGGTATGGTAGTGAATCTATCTATCTATCTATGCAGGGCGTCTTCACCCATAAGCACACGCACCTGACGAAGCTAGGGCTAAACACGCCCATCGCATCCACATTTGGACCGAGCCGTCCGGCGCGCCGCGCATGACGGCGCGGCGCGCCGGTCATGTAGGCTTGTGGCACCGACGTGGTGGGTGTCTTCAGCACACGCCTCATGTCACATGGGCGCACCTGCCCGCTGACACCATATACCACTGGCGATGGTGTCACCCATGAAGTACCTGAAGCGTTTGACCGTCACACGGTCACTTACCGAGGTAGGTTGCGTGATGGTCATTATAACACCAGCTAATTGTACGCATTGTAACTTGTTGAAATGCGATTCGCAAGCACATGCTCGTGCAATGTGTACAAATGGAAGGACAACACATTCTCCGGGGTCTGGAACCAAGAGGATGAACTTGCTATCCAGCGACACGGGTGCGGATCCCCGAACAGATGACTTGTTTGACCCGAATAACATGGAAAGGTCACCTGGCAACGGGACCACGGGGGTCAATCCCGGCCCCGGGCGGCTAAATCACAGCTCTGCGAGGCACGTAGCGTTCAAGTCCTCCGCAGTCCTGTTGGGCGAAATGACGAAGAAAAGTACCCGTTGTCTTGGGATGCGCAGTTTAGATGGTGGGTTCAAGACACGCCCAACACACTAGGCATAGCAGGTACACTGAACCCAATGCGGCTCATGCATGCCTTTAGAAGCAAATAAAGAAGTTCGACACCTTTCAAGATCGTACACAGCTCGCGCTCGGCTTCACTGCACGAACATTCACGAAAAAGTCATGCCCCTGTTGAATGCGCACGGCCCTTTGACATCATACCCGGACTATCAGCAGAGTAAGGGCATGGCCACTGACTGAGGTCCGGTGACGACGCTGAAGCCTGTATTGACCACACCTCTGATGGTGAGGTTGCGCCCTACAATGATGATCAGAAGCATCAGATTCCAAGCAAACCCTTCAGTCTCGAGGCTGAGCAGTACAGGGGTTTTCGAATACAGGTGAACGCTTATTTGCTTTTAAAAGAGACATGTAGAGCTATAATCATGGACAATGCGCGAGTGCTTGAGCCCTTGCGGTTGACAAAAGCACACAGGCTGCAGAAGGCACCTCACGATGGTCGTCCCTCGTTGCGGTTGTTGACACCTTTCATCAACTTATCCAGGCAGTTTATTTTAGTTGACGGTCTGCGTAGTGTTGCGACAGAATTATAGACAATGGTGATCACCGGTCGCATTTGTGGTCCGTGTGAACATTCCCATGAATTGTGCAGTTTGCTAAGATTTCGTACGAGGGATGTTCGTTCGATGTGCTGTTCGTCGATAATAAAATCTGAAAACGACAACTGATAACGCTGAAGACGTCGTTACAAACCTGCCATCATGGTATGCAAAGACCATTGCAGATCCGGGCATTTATTCAAGCTGGGCATAATAACAAGCTGTCCAGAGCAATCTCTCAGTAAACGAGTGGCATATGCAAAGGAGGGGCCCCGCCCTCACCGCCGACTCGTAATGGGGCGTGGTGTGCGTGCTTCCCACCACATCCGTGATGCCCGCTGAGTACCGGATGCGCAGACGGCGGGTCACACGACGCCCCCCGCCCCTCCGCCCCGCCTGGACCCCCACCGACCGCCGGGCCGCCGCCGGCCAAGGCGAGTGCACGCCCTTGGCGAACGCGGTGCCGACAGCTATAAAACGCCAACTAGTGCAGCGGTTGGCAGTCGTCTGGCAGCAGTGGGGCGGGTTCAGCTTGGTGAAGTTTAGCAACAACATGGCTCTTAAGGTGAGAAGCTTTTGCCATGGACAACATTCTGACTAGTTGTTATTGGGCGACATGTAGTGGCCATTGATAACGGGGGTCGTGCCCCGTAAGGCGATATCAGATATACAGGAGACGGCGTCTCCTAGAACGTTTGGAGCTTTTTTTGCGTGAAGGGGACAATGGCGTTATGATGCGGGGCTGTTCGCTCAAATGAGTAGCATGCGACACTGAGTGAAATATTTTGTCTTTAGGAGTTCACGTGAAGTAGATTGAGTGGCCGATGCTCAAGCAAAAGATACAGGCCAGAAAAAGATAGCCAACTCATCTCGCCTTATGGCTTACTTAGGATGATCAAGTCCTGAATGAAATGTAAAGCGAAATATATTGACTTCCTTTTGGTCACTTCTCTCTCAAATGATCCTAGAGATATTCTTGAAGTGAATTTTAACTATGCTTGAAGGGCGATATCGTAACTACAATTCTTTGTGACTTTATCCAAGAGACATATTTGCTTAAAGGAGCAGTTCCGTCTAGAGGACAATCGTGACATCTATGTCTGCTTGTAATATCAAAAGATTCTTTTGCAGAACAAAAAAGTTTTCATCTTTGATCTATTATATAAAACCATGCGTAATGTAACATAGTCTGTATCGTAACAAGGATGAATATTTTAATGGATCAGAACTAGCCACACGCGCTTTGCAGTTGTTTTGCGTCCATTTAAACAGCAAAGATCGGCGATAAACTTCCGACCCAGTTACTTGCATAGCTACTGGGGCGTTACTGAAAAAGTCCACCCATATCATATACATAATGGCAGGATCCAGCGGGCTACACCGCGCTCTCGACACCCCGGGCTCCTCGCCGTCAGCAACGCCTCTTCACCAGCTGTGTGTCCGGCCCGCAGATGGCGTCTGTCCTGGCCGTGCTGGCCGTGGCCGCCGGCCGGCCGGACCACGGCTACGGCGACTCGGTCGTAGTCGGCGAAGCCCCGGTGTCGCGCACCGTGGAGGTCGTCGACTACGTCAACCCGCACCCCAAGTACGACTTCGACTACGGCGTAAGCGACCCGTACACCGGCGACCGCAAGTCGCACGTGGAGAGTCGCAACGGCGACCGGGTGCGGGGCCAGTACCGGCTGGTCGACGCCGACGGCACCGAGCGCGTCGTCACCTACACCGCCGACGACTACAACGGCTTCCAGGCGGTCGTCGAGAAGCGACCACTGGCGTACGGCGGCGCGGCGGTCGGCCGCTCCGCCGCCGCCGGCGTCTACAACTCGGTGCCCACGGCCGTCTCGTACCAGCAGGTGGCCAAGTCGGAGGGCCCAGACGTGCCCGTGGTGCGCGAAACCATCCGCACGGCGCCCGTTGTCGCCAAGGTGGCCCCCGTCGTCGCCAAGGTGGCCCCCGTTGTCGCCAAGGTGGCCCCGTACGCGCCCGCCCCTGCGCCTGTCGCCACGTACGCCGCCCCCGTCCCCGCCGCGGCGGCGACGTACGCCGCCGCCCCGCTCCCCGCCGGTCACGTGCGGTACGCGGCGCCCGCCGTCGGTGTCGCCCCTGCTGCCACCTATGGACGCACTCCCGCCTCCACCTACCGCTCTGGGTACTCTGGGTACCACCGCCGCGCGTCGCCGTACATTTACAACTACAGCTACTGATGACGGGGCGGGAACAGGGTAACGAATGTGCTGGCTGTTTTTCACGGCAGCGATATGACCATCCAGTATTTTCCAACATCGTAATGCTCCTCTGCCACACTCCAAGTGTCGGCCACGACTCTTTTGATATGAATAAATTGTTGTCAGAATATGCCTTTTGTCGCCATGTGAGCGCAGTTCTCTGCGCGTGGGGTCAGAAGCAAAAGAGCGTGAGAACGAAGGGACAGCCAGGCGTGGCGTCAGCACTTATTTTTGGTTGCCAGGGCCGGAACGGGATCCCCCATGAACGATCTTGGTCAGTCCCGTACTCCACCGTCTTTTCAGTTAAACCTTTGCGAGCAATATGGCCCTAGGTGCGTATTGTTTCGTTTATCCCCTACCTGTTACTGCTGTTACGGTTTTGATATTACGACAGCTGATGGTGCTTAAGTGCTAGTAGGTACCTTGCACTATACGCAACGAACATGCATTTTGTGGGTCGGAAAACATCCGACTACACTGGCGCATCCAGCCCTCGGGTTTGGGGTCAAGTCAGTTGGGCAAAGTACATCACCAACCCCAACTTTAGATTGTCCTCAGGTTTATACTCCGCGTAAAAAAATGGCTTGGCAATGGCTGTGGTTTCACTTTGGCTTCGATTTCTCTCCTATCGAGTTTGACACAGTGGCTCTTTTCGAGGCGTACTTTGGCTTGGTGATAGGAGTATCGCGTGATCCATATGACGCACTGGTTTACACTTTACCAATCAGGTTCTCGGTAACAGCCCTTGCCTGCCGTGCCAATCACAAACTTTGCTTTTTTCTACATTCGCACCAGTAGAGTTATGCACGGTGGATGCCGCGGCGACGGTGGTCGCAACTGCAGGGAAGAAGCGTGCTGCTGTTGCAAAGCGTTGACAGCGTAACTTGGACTCGAAAATAAGCAAGTTTGATATTCTTATTGTGTCTTGGTAGTGCTGCAGTGGCACTACCCAGTGTTGTTGTCAGACATGCCTAGTCCTGATGTTTTACGAGGTTATGCTTTTGAAATTTGCCCCAAAAGTGGGACGCTCCCTTTAAACCGACAGAAGAGGTGCCGTCGGTCGAGAAAAATATTTCGGTGTCAGTTCATAACCCTCCCTTAATACTATCAACGGCATACAGTCGCATCTTCCTCGCGTGATTACAAATAGTTTCAAAGTGCTGCTACATATTCGCAAACCACGCTCCATTCCTGTCGTTCGTATTTAGTAATGTGCCGCCAGGTGAGCATGCCAATAAAATAGACATGCCGTCGGTTTACCTTTTGTGCCGTCTTCGACGTCGGTTATTGCTCTGTTATTGCCTGTCAATAACATAGCAATGCCGTGCCCTGCCTGTTATTGCTCTGTTATTGCCTGTCAGCCACCTCGCGATCTGAAGAGAAACATACCGGGCTGGAATTGGGGCGGGCGGTGAATCTATCCGCCGCGAGCCACATGCTCGTATTTTCTTTTCAATGCTCAGGTACATCCCCTTTTGCTACGTTTAGCGCGGGCGCTCAGCCCGGACATGAGCGCCAGGACAGTCAATATTAGATAACCCTGGAAGTACGCCGACCACGCTGGAGGGGACATTCATTCGTACAGACATTCATTCGGATTCGAGGCCCGACTGGCCTGGAGCGCTCAGTGCCCACGCCTTTGCAGCATGCAAGCCCGACGGACGAGTTGCGACCCTTTGGCGGTTCACTGCGATCCCCTGCCCTTTCCCCATTGTTAGCCTTGCGTTAAGTTAAACATCATTTAAGCAAACAAAAAGAAGCAAAAAAAAAAAAACGCTCTGCACTCTCCAGGGTTCTTAAGATTATGTACTCTCACATCAGTTCTGACTCGCTACATATACTGGGCTTCCTTCGTGTTTGCATAGCGCCTATCGCCCTGAAAAGCCTATCTAATATATGCATGTGTTTCTGCTGTGTTATGCTCGGTCTTTTAAATCAACACATCTACCTGGCACAGTGTGTCGGGGCTACCGGCAATTTTTCGCGAGATGAAGAGAATGCTGCCGTTATGACAGGCTCATTGCGTCACAGATGCTTCACTCAATGACTCATTGCGGGTGGTAACGGAGGCAGACCTTTGCGGCAAGTAGCAGTCGTAAAAGCCGTGGGATGAAGGTCCCACTTTTTAGGTAGGAGTTGGAGAGTGGATTGCTATCTTTCCGTGACACAGAAGAAATTTGACGCATGCTGCACATCCCTGGCAACTGCTAGTGAGAGTTGTATTAGCCCGCCAAGGGATGACACTGGATATTGAATTGAATAACTGTTAGTGTATAAACCATGGAGTCATAAGAGGCAAGTGATTCAAAACATGTGTTAGATCTTATCTGGGCCAGCCCTGTTCTTTTTTCTGCCGCATATCGTAGCCAGTTGGTCCTGGTCTCAAACCAGGCGCCATCTTTTGAAAAATATCGTCAAAAATTTGCTGGCTGGCTTGACATATGCATAAATTAGAAGAGCAAAAACATCAGATGCATACATGATGCTGTTCGGCACAGAGAATCCCACGTTGCTAAGAGTGATGCGTTTGGGTACGTACTGCCTAGTACACCAATAGTTTAGATGACTGTACTGCATTTATTTGGCCCAGTATTTCCTCTCTCCTGATATGGATCAGAGTCAGAGGTGTCAGTGAGATCAGAAGAGCAATGTCAAGGAGGAGGGGATCAGGCCCTACGAAAATCTGTAAAGAAACAACCTGAGTTGGAATGAATGGACAACAAATTCGAAGATGTTTTTGGTGAACGATGTTCTTTCCCGCTCGGTCCATCTCTCTGTTTCATTCAGTTCCCCCAATTCCTTCTTTTTTATACCATAGAATGTGTCATTCATAATGGTTTGGCGAAAAGAGTATTCCTCATTTTTGAAAAAAAATCACCCAACCTTGCTTCGTTTAGTTTGATCTGGTTATATACTGGATAGCTACCTGAAACATATCCTTATCTCGTCAGAGACGTTTCAAAATTTGCTAGTGCGCTATCAATTCGTGTAATTTACATATACAACGCATAGCGCGCCATTTCCATTGCACGGCGCGGACGTATCACCGCGTATATGCCATAGTGGTCGTGAAACTGCGCGTTGCCGTGTGGTGGGGGTGGATTAGTTGTTATAGATATCATTACAGGAGTTGATAGCATCGGAAATGTCATCTATTTTAGCTCTACGTGGATATGGGTCGGATAGCAATGAATCTGGTGCAGATGAAATTGAGGACGAAGAAGCTTTGACAGCCCATTTGAGACCGATTCAGTCTACGGAGAGTTCGCTTGGATTGAAAACATCGATGCAAGTGTGCTTGGCGCCGACAGTCGCGCCCAAGGTGAATGACAAGTCGTGTGGAATGCTCTGTGATTTGATCAGGTGGTGAAATACAGATAATCTTGGGTACAGGGTTGAAGCTTGTCAAAATATAGATGTCAGAAACAGCACTACTCCCAGTAAACTTAAGGCATAGCTGGAATCATATGGTTCCATATGCAGGGACAATGAAGACTGCAAAAGGTGCATTGTGTGAATGATGTTAGATGTAATAAGAAGTGTTCCGCCCCGATGTTGAACACACATAAATCTGGAAACTCAAAATGTGGTACATGGTCCACCCCAATTGCATTGCATTGAAAGTTAGTATTCTAAAGAATTTTATGCCATAAATGTAATTTTAGCCAGAAGTACTGCAATGTTTTGCACCATAAAACAGGGTGAAAATTTAGTGTAATTTTTGTGCTGCTTTGGATCAGCAAGCATAAATGTGAGGTTCAGTGAATGGATGTTGTGTAAGTATGACTTATTGGATGTGTAAGCATTCAGTGCTGCATATGATTTTTTTGTAGACTGTCAACCCCAGGGTACAGACTTGAATAAATATGGTCTGTTAAAAAGAGGTGTGATTTTATTTCCTCTAATATGCTACAAAGTGTTCAGGAGTATGTTAAACTATGTAAGACATACTGTGCCATGCAATATGAACAAGTGGTATTTACAGACATGTTATAACTTAAGATTCTGCATAACATGCACAATGCTGAACACCAGTTTGATTTTATGCCTTGTAAGCATCATCTCTGCAATGAGCCTCACTTCACCAAACTTCTGCATCAGCATTATAACAGGTTAGGAGTCATGGACAGACAGCTGTAATCCTTGATACCTTTGATCAGAAGGTAAGATACACAAGTGAAAAGTCATTAGGATAGCTTACAACAACATTTGGGGGCTAGGTCCAGAGTGCTGTGGATGGGCTTGAGTGCCAAATTATGGAAGACTTTGTTGGCTTTTGAAGAGGGTGCCGAACAGGGTTACTAGAGTGTATGATGAAGCTGGATATTTATTCATGAATAGGTGAAATGCTTTCAGTGTTTTCTACTGTGTAGAACACTTATGGAGACTGCATCAAGGCATTTGCAGGTGTACAAGACATCTATCTTATAAACAGATTTCTTGGGAATTAATTATTATATATTGTTATTTCTCCATATTTTTGTTGTGGAGCTTTACATTTAAGCAACAAGGCAGACTTGTTTGGCTGACTTGCTTGCCTTGTTCATGAGATCTACTTGTTTTTATAGTTCATTCACCTCTTAAAAATGGAATCATGGGAAGATGTCTGTTAGTGCATGAATGTTCACCCAGCTTTTGTCTTGAAAACCTAACCTGGCTTTTGTAACATGACTAAAACATGCCAACATATCAGCCATCCAGATAAAAACCATGCTTGTAGTGGATGCGCCTGAACGTGACCACCTTTTTCAACCTGCCACCATTGCAGACTGGCCTGGACTGACCGGCGCCACCTGGACCCGACCACCAAGGAGCTTGCATACAACCCGCGCTTTGACGAGCTGTTCGCGCCCGTGCTGGGCCCCGCCCACCCGGCGCAGACGCAGCAGCAGCGCGCCGAGCGCAACACTCTGGCCGGCTATGTCGAGCCGGCCCACTTCAGCGCCTTCCAGTTCGAGAACCAGCGTCGCACCTTCACCAGCTATGGTAAGCGCGTTTGCCGACTCGCCGGCTGGCGACGGCTCGGCCACCGTGGCCAGGACCTGATCTGGACGCTGGCTGGCCTTGCCTCTGCGCTGGGAGTTAGCTGCCCTTGTTTCTGCGCGGAGAGCCACGATGATCACTTATCAATGGGAGCTGGTGTGTAATTCATTTAGAATGCATGAATAGTAGGTTGTTTGTTCCTGGTGGTGCATGAGTAGACTTGCTGGGTATACTGTAGGTGATGTGATATAAAATGACGGATGCATGAGCTGTCACTTGGGCGTCCATTCGCTCTACACACAGGAGACACCCATCTGTCGCATTCTACACACAGGAGACACCCATCTGTCCTTCTGGAATATGGGCTGACGGAACTGCAGACCGTCGTGGGCAAGGAAGGACCCGCACTGTCGACCGCTGTAGTCGGGTGACGTTCAGCAGTCCTGCTTCCACTGAACCGAAGCATAGCACCCAACAGGGACTGCAGTGGCTGTCGTGCCGACTGACCGCCGTTCATCGCGCAGGTTACGCGGTGGACCCGAGTACGGAGGCGACGACGGAGGAGGGCGCCGCGCGCATGGTGGGCGCCGCCACCGCCTCCACCAGCGCCGACAGCGCGCCGACCGTGTTCGAAAAGACGTCGGAGAAGAGACCACTCGACAAGCGGAAGCGGCTGAAGAACGCGGACGCCAGCGACACGGACGGCTACCTCGGCCCCTGGGGCGGCTTCGTCGACGAGCAGAAAGTGATGAAGCCAACTGAGGTGAGCCGGCGTGACGCGGGATGCGGCATGGCGGAGGGGAACGATGTAGGAGTGCCCGGGCGGTAAGCGATAGGGTCAGTTGTGGGATGGGGAGCAATGTTGGGCGCTGAGGTGTTCGCTGGTAAGAAGTCATTTTTTTTAGGCGTTTTGTGGGTGCCGAACTTATTGAGGTATATTCACAGCAAGATTTTATGTTGTTTGGTAGCACGACCTCTGGCAGCTGAAGTTTGCAGGTGGACGACCTTTTCCCCATCTTGTGGTAAGACACTTCCTTTGTCGTTCTGTCATGATTAGACAGCATGCGAAACGCTTGCACCGGCGCAATCTACGCCGTGTACCGTGCGTTCTTAGGGCTACCAATCGTCTTAGAACGTTGATGCGTCAGTGACATGCGCCTCCCTCCCCCCTGCCCTGCGGCGGCGCAGCCATGAGGCGCCGGCGGCTCTCTCTGCCATACTACCACCACGCCGTGTCGACGGAGCATGCTCATAACGTCCCGCGCGCCGCAGGAGGAGCAGGCCGAGCTGGACATCATCGTGGCCAAGCGACAGAAGCGCGGAAAGCAGACGGACGACAAGCCCATGGAGGAGCGCACCATCCTCCACATCAAGGACGCGTACGACTACCAGGGCCGCTCGTACCTGCACGCGCCGCAGGACGTGGGCGTCAACCTGCGCTCCGAGGACCCGCCCGACAAGTGTTTCATCCCCAAGAAGCTGCTGCACACGTGGCAGGGCCACAGCAAGGGCGTGCACGCCACGCGCTTCTTCCCCAAGTCGGGCCACCTCATCCTCTCCTGTGGCATGGACTGCAAGATCAAGGTAGGTCACTGGGCTGGGCGGTCCCACGGCGTTCTCGAGGTCGTAGTGTGATCGTGTCAGCGAAGTATTTGATCTGGTCGGGTGTGGATGCGTTGTGTCATTTGCTGCTGACGGTTTTGTTCTGGAAGTTCGGTCGAGAGTGTGTACCATTCTTGGCAGGCCCCTTATATATTACACTGCTGCGCTTGAGACTAACGTACCAAACCCGCCGTGAGTAGCGCAGTACCGGTAGTCTTTATAAACAGGGGACGGCTGCGCATTAAAAGGGCGGTTGGCTGACGGGAAATGCGCCGCTATGAACCCACTGCAGTCCCTTCTAAGATGGTCTCTGAGCGATCTTGCGCGCTCCTGCTGACGTGGTGTGGTGACCGCCCGCCCGTGTTGACCGTCGCCCTCGGGGCCGCAGCTGTGGGAGGTGTACAACCAGCGGCGGATGCTGCGCACCTACCTGGGCCACCGGCAGGCCGTCAGGGACGTCTGCTTCAGCAACGACGGCACCCAGTTCCTGTCGGCCGGTGAGTCCTCGCGACGGAGGGTGGCATCATCACGCGCGGATGTCGAAACCAGCTGTGTGATGTGGCAGGATGCGTGCACCATCATGCTGCATTCACCATCATGCTGTATTATCATTTTCGGTGGTCATGCAAGTGGACGCTGGCAAGCACGGGGTGAAAGATGGGCCGTGGTGCAGCTGCATATATTGCCAAAGTGAAGGGCAATTGGTCAGTGCCGTTAAAATGTGCGTGCCCTTCAACCATTGCAGCGGGACAGCTTGACATTCCACCTCCGAGAGCAAAACAAATAGGGTGTTGGTGTGTTTCAACATTGGAATATGTGTTTTTGGGTTTGAGGTGAACATGCGAGAGGTGACGGCTTGTGTTACTGGCGCCAGCTACATGTGGGCTGTCAGGAACATTGATCCACAACTCATTGACACAAATTTGCCGAGATAAACGTCCGGCGCCGAAAGCCGGCGACCTCTCGCTGTGGTCAGCTTTGCGCTGTTCTCATCTATGTGAACGCTGACCGCCCATCGTCGGCTCGACCAGGGTACGACCGCTACATCAAGCTGTGGGACACGGAGCGGGGCGAGTGCGTGTCCCGCTTCACCAACAAGAAGGTGCCCTACTGCGTGAAGTTCCATCCGGACGAGGACAAGCAGCATCTGTTTGTGGCCGGTCTCTCCGACAAGAAGATTCTTTGCGTGAGTGTGGCGCAGGCGCGGTCTATTAGGGAGTTGTGTACCACATCAAATGACCTTCGTGCCGCCAGTGCTTGTAGCGGTGGACTTGGCTTCTGAAGGTTGGATACGTCTGGGAAAAGTGGTACCAACATAGATACTGGGATAGTGGGACAAGGTTTGGGAGTGTGTAAATGTCCGGTAGGTTTGTGCTGAGCCTCAATAGTTGTTACATGGAGTTGTAACAGCTCTTGAGGCTCATATCTAACAACGAATATAGTTATTAGCTGTATGTAACAGGTAACGATAACTGATCCGGATAGCTGTGGATTAGTTATCCAGTTATATATTGTGTATTGGGCCCAGCTGTCACCGTCAAATAACACACGACAGCGCGGACGCGACACTGGTGCCCCTCTTCTCCAGTGGGACACGCGTTCTGGCGAGATAACGCAGGAGTACGACCGCCACTTGGGCGCCGTCAACACCATCACCTTCATCGACGAGAACCGGCGCTTCGTCTCCACCTCGGACGACAAGAGCCTCCGCATCTGGGAGTGGTGCGTACCGTCTGCCGCCGTGGCGCCGCTCCGGTCCGGCCGTCACTGCAGCATCACGCTGCAATGGCGGGTGCATCAAGAGCTTTGCTCAATGCTTGATGGCGTCTTGCTCCTGACGGATGTGGAGTTTTTGTTTGGCTCGTCATCGAGCGTGCGCAGCGATGAGAACTGTGCGTACGTGCCTCGACTTGCTCCTCGGCCTGTTCACCCCACTAGCAGCAGTGCCTAACGCCTCGCCAACGGACGCCGACCGCGAACCCCTGACTCCGTGAAGCTGACCATGCCGGTGCCGATGCCGACGCTCACGGCTCCGCTCTACCGCCAGGGACATCCCGGTGGACATGAAGTACATCGCCGACCCGTCGATGCACAGCATGCCGGCCGTGGCGCTCTCGCCCAACGGCAAGTGGCTGGCCTGCCAGTCCATGGACAACAAGATCTGCATCTTCTCGGCCATCAACCGCTACAAGCTGCACCGCAAGAAGTCGTTCACAGGTCACATGGTGGCCGGATATGCGTGCGGTCTCGACTTCTCGCCAGAGATGAGGTACGGCTCCGGTTGGTAGGACGTGATGCGACCGGCTTTTTGCGTGTATTCGTATTTTCTTATGGCGATGGGGCTACTCTGTCACCGCCCCTCGAAGACCGTACGTTTTGCCGTGCAATGTCAGGGAAACATAAATTCTGCATTGCGTTAATCTTCTAATATTTCAGGCGATAATTTTGCACTTTGTTAATTATGTGTCACACATATTGTTAGCTGACCGAGCTTTATTTGTGGCTTGTTAAGCGAATAACGTCATCGAGTGACTCTCCCGTTAATGGCGTCCTCATTTGCCACGTGTTGTCTTTGGCACTTAATGTAGCGCTGCAATCTAAGCGGCGGAAACTGAACGCCAACCGGCAATAAATATCGAGTCGACGTGTCATCGAGCCCGCGCTTATGGTGGCATCTTTCGGCATACGTGTGGACGCCGTTAGTCACTCGTTCCCCTCAGTTGAGCGCCGCTGTCTTCTCGTCCTGATCAGTCCGCCTTCTCTTCAGCTATCTGGTGTCGGGCGACGCCGACGGCAAGTGCTATGTCTGGGATTGGAAGACGACGAAGCTGTACAGCAAGTGGAAGGCGCACGACGGCGTCTGCATCCAGGCCATGTGGCACCCGCACGAGACGAGCAAGGTGGTGACGGCCGGCTGGGACGGCGAGATCAAGCTCTGGGACTGAGCGGCTCGCTGGGGAGTGAGGATGCCACCCCGGCGAGGTGGCGTCGCGCGATGGCTCGCGGCTCGGGCGCCACGCGTGCGTCGATTATCGCGTGTATTATGCTACTGTCATTGTCATCGGATGATCGCAACCATGTCACGAATACAAAAGTCGGTCGCAACGCGCACTTTGAACGGGTATCACAGCTTCCTGAACAACGCGTGGCACGAGGCGTCACGCGTCATCGTATATCTTCCACAGCGCCACGGTGCCGTCAGCGCCGCCGCTGGCCAGCAGCGAGTTGGCCTTCCACAGGCGCACCGGCGCCGGCGCGAACTCCACGCACTCGACCGTCTTGCCGTGGTGCTCGAGCGCGGCAAGCAGGCGCAGCTTGCGCCACGAGATCACGCGCAGCCGGTGATCCCAGCAGCCGAGCGCGGCGACGCGGCCGTCGCGGCGTACGCGCACGCTCGCCGCGCCCGGGTTCGTGAGCTCGAAGCTCGGTCCGGCTGCCAGTCCGTCGGCGGTCACGGTGAAGGTCGGCACGCGGCTGCCGGAGGTGCCGACCAGGCCGCGGCCGTCGGCAGCCACGTCCACGCACATGGGCGTGTCGCTGGTGAGCTGGAGCCGCGCCGCCGGCCCCGCGGCGCCTGGCTCCCAGAGCAAGAGCGCGCCGGACTCGTACACGGCCACCAGGCGGCTGCGGGTGTCGTCCGGCAGGGGGCACAGCTGCATCACAGTGCCGAGCTCGGGCGGCGCTGAGAAGCGGCCCCCATCCCGACCCGAGCGCGGGTCCAGTAGAGCGACGGCTGAGGGGGGCTCAGCGGGGCATGCCACAAGGTTGCCGACTTGCACTACCTGTCAGCAGGGGTGAAATAACAGGTGAAATAGGGTTGACAGTGACTTGTGATTTGGAAAACAGGTGTAAGCCTTAATTTGCTTGAACAATGGTTTAATCCATGGTAAACTATGAGTAATTACCAAGCCAGTTAACCACACCACTTGTATTGGCAGCCAGGCATGCCTCCAATCACTAATGCTCATCCTATTACTAATACATACTAATGACATACACAAGTAGAAAATTGGTTATGGACCCTGGGCTCACAGATCCTTTGATGGTGTAACTGCCAATGTCAATACAAACCTTGCAAAAGCCATAATGCAAGAAGGGGAAAGTTGAGACAGGCTTGGGCAGGTCCAAGTCCCAAATGCAGATGGAGTCGTTTCTACCCTGTGTGAGCGCCTGGCCTTCATCCAGCTGCAAGACTGCCTGACAGGGAGACCCATGAGCCTCCACAGAAAATTTCTGCTTGCAAGTCTGGAAACAAGAAAGTTCAGCATCATGGGCAGGACAAATTTCATGCATATTCATAGCATTCCTCATAGTGCTAGGCAATAATGCCACAAGAAATGATGCATTGCCAAAATTAGCAAAACTGAAAACTTTGGGAATCATAGTACTTTGGGCCATACAAATAATGCTGCACATTATCACATACCATAAGCCATAAACCCATAACCCCATAAGTTACAAACTGAAACAAAGAGAAAACAAACCCCTGAATTTGACTATAATGCATGACAAAATATCTGAACTGGGTAAGCATTTACATATTCAAAAAGCAAAAAACTGGGTACACATTCAAAAAGTCCTATAATAGCCAGCTATAATACAAACAGAGAGAACAATGGTTTACCTCAAGGTCCCAGATCGTTAGATTTCCATCTTGACTACCCTGGGCAAGAAATACCTTCCTTTGGAGTGTCAAAAACCTGAGGCAGGACACAGGCGTACCATCTTTTTTGAAGTAATGTAATGGTGCAGGTGGGAGCTGTTTCCCTTTATCACCGTTAGCCATCTGAGCAAGAAAATATTTTACGCGCACTGCATGAGCACGACTCCCGTGGACCCTCAACACATCACGTCCGCGCGGCGCCCGGGCCACGGTTCTTGTGCGTAAGCAACGTTAACACAATAGTGCATAAATGTATGCCGCTGCTGCTTTCTAATTGTCTCCATAGGTTACATTTGTAAACAAAAATTTTGCGAGATCATTCGTTTGTTCACGCGTCACATCTAGCAAGGGCAGCCAGTTCATGAAGCGTTACATGACGTCATTAAGAAATATATGCTATGTTTTGATATGTTATAATTGTTTTAGAAATAAACATTATGTTAAAAACTATATAAAAATATGAAATATTCTGAAAAATCAGTAAATCATTTAAAATACAATATATAAGCTCATGCCATTAGGAAAGCGAAGCTTGATGTAAGCAGTCAGCTATTGGACCGTTCCTAACAATCAGCGCTTTGGCCGCAGCCACCCCAGAGACTGTGGTTTTTCAGGGGGTAGCGAAGGGAGGGCCGTGGCAGGGATAGCCCGGGCATAATTGGCATACCAATAGTCCTTACTTTCCCCATACACTTCAGTCTTTTCGAAAACAAGCGCTCTAGGAGGAGCGCGTTGGGGTTGCCGGCATGGCTTCGTCGAGCGGTGGGGTGGAGTGGAACTCCATCGTGAAGCCCATTTTAGCGGCATCCTACGGATCATTTAACAAAAATGACCTGCCTGAGTTCATAAGATCTGTGATAAAGAGGTAAGGATACACAGAAATAAAATGTTATGTGTGTTATTGCGTACATGGCGCTATTTCTAGAACATTCCAATGGGATTGTATCCACCAAAAGTTATTTATTTCTCCGAGTATAAAGACAGAGTCAGTTTTTACATTTTTATAAGATCCTAGACACACAATGCTGGTGGTGCTAAGTGGCTTTGTATTCAACGGTGATATCATGGTTCAACCTGCTGACATAACAAATAAAGCTTGGCTACATGATAAGTGCCTACAAATGTGCCCACTAGCCCAACTACCCACCATTCATTGGGTCTGTGGTAGGAGGTAGGTACGCCCAAACTTGGCCAGGTTACAAATTGTATCAAGAAGCTGAAGATTACATTACTGTTATCATTTTATGTCAAAGTGATGTATAAGTGAGTTCTTGTGATCAAGGTCTCTTACAAAAGATAAGATTGGAAATAAAGTGAAATTTAGGAATTTGATCTACATGAAATGATGCATTCAACATTTTCAGCCACATATTGATTCCCCTTATCATCTCTTACCTAAGAAGAATGCATATTATGGGCATGTAGGCATGAGGCACATAAAGCAGGACTAAGCCCTTCTTTACATTAGTGCAATCCAGTTATATTTGTCTATGCACTGGTGCTTAGTCTTGACATGCTTTACAGATGGCATTAAGTGGGAATCAAAAGTGTATTTAATGGATGATAGCTGGGCAGGAGTTGAAAAGCTTACAGCATACTGATACTGAAACATGCCAGGAAATCTAAACTAATATTAAACTCCAGGACACCCATATAGTCTTTAAATGAAAATTTGGTGTTCAGATTATTTTGTGTCATGTACAACTAGATTTAGGGTGCAAATAGGTAACATTTTCACTATCTTGGGCCTTAAATTGGGTGAAACTTTGTATCCCTTGGAGAGGACCCTAGCTCTTTCCACAATGTTGAGCTGCTCTCCCCCCCTCCCCTGCCACCCCCCCCCCCCCCCCAGGTATACATGATCCCCAATACTAGAAACATTCTAGAGAAAGCTTAGCATTTCTTCTGGACCCCTTTTCTTTCTAAGTACAGGGTTTTGGGCCACCCATGCAGTTAACAAAGGGTTCACCCCCTGCTTGGTAATGCACCCTGATGTCAACTTACCAGTCAGTTGCCAAGGTCATTGCAATATGTGATATTTTGATTGCTCAGTGCTTCCCAGATTTATAGATAATTTGGTTAAAACATTGATGGTAGTTTTATTAGCAGCATGAGCTTAAATTGCTTTAACACCCTCAAAGGTAGAACAGTGTTATAGGCAGGTGGCTGCATAAAAACATCAGTAAGACAGTTTGATGGACAAATTAGCAATGCATTGGGAGGACCCTACATCACTTGCAAACTTACTTGACCTTAAACTCTGGGCTGATGTTTCATATCAGCATTGTTAATGCAGGATGCTACCAAAAGTTCACATTTCTGTCAGTCCCTAAGATCTAGTAAAATAGCTTGATTTAATTGTAAGTTCAATGTTTTAAAACCAATCCCATTGATATTGACTTGACATTTTCCTGCCTTTGGTTTCAGTGAAGATGACATCATCAACCACAGTGCTGAATATGACACATTCTATTCAACTTTTGCACTGCTGGCTGCAGACTACATCACCCAGAATGCAGCAGACTGTAAGTGGATTGGACATGAGACCTGATTACCTACATAAAGTTCATATTTAGATCAGGTTGACACAAATGGTCATGAAACAGGCATGCAATCCAAAGTCAGCTGTGTGTGTGTGATGCATCATGTAATAGTCCTGCAGTGGTCAGCTGCCACCCAAGCCATGTAGATGGGGCAGCAGCCCCAGAGTTGGTAGGACCTGGCATTTGTCCTTCCAAGTTGGCTAACATTTAATGTTAGTTTCTGTGGCCTTAAAAAACAGTTGACTCACATGACATTTACAGGCTACAAAACCAGAGTTGAGACTCATGCCCTTGACTGCCACCCAGAACCTAAACCTACCAAGCTGTGTGTTTGAGAAACCAGAAGTACAGGTTTTGATTCCCTGTGGTGCCCATCCTTTCAGCTAGGGAGAGAGATAGACAGTGTCATATAGCCATAACAGCTGAGTGTATCATAAGGCCTCAATGGCAGCTTCCTTGCAAGTTGGATTCAGCTTCCTAGATCAAGCCATGACTGCCCACACCAGTCACATGCCCATGCAGCTACAGCCGGACCAGCCACTGCTCGCGCTACCTCCGCTGACCAGTCGCCGCACCTCCGGCAGTGCTGCCGAGTCAGATGGGCGGCGCGTGCGCAGCCGCGCGCATCCTGGGCGCGCACATGCTGCGCGGCCTGTCGGGCGGCAGCCGCCAGACGTCGCCACTGTCGCGCGGCCAGCTGATGGACGGCCTGCGCCTGCTGTGCCAGGGCGGCGGCCTCGAGCACTCGGACCACGTCACGCTGGTGGCCGCCATGAAGATGGCCAAGCTGCCGCCTCACATCCGCACCAGCGTGCCGGGTGAGGCGCGCGGCGCGCGCGGCGTCGCCGTCTCACGCGTGCGACGTGCGCTCCGCTCGGGCTGGCGTGACCGAGGGTTGTTTTATTAGTTGCTCGTCGCGAGTTGCGACAGATGTTGTTGGCACCATGTATCGATTTTTTGACACCCCTTCTTTGCTTATCAAATGTTGAAAAGTCCCTCATGCTCTTGCATTTGCTGGACATGGGATGCCGCGGGCTTGACGTCCACCAATATGGCCATCTTGCCCGTGCTTTTATCGATGCTGCATGCCAGGGTACCAAAAGTGTAGTGCGTCTTTGCGCGTCTTCATTGGCCATTGCGCGTCCGGGAAACCAGGGGTAGGGGTTCAATTCTCCGCGGTGCTCGCCCTTGCTGCCATGGTGAAAGGCAGGCGACGCCATATAGTCTGAGCAGCTGAGTGCGTCGTAGAGCCCTAACCACACACGGTGCTGCACGCTGGAAGAACGATTGACACATTCCTACCGTCACGCCTCTGCACAGCGGAGAAGGAGAACTCAGCCAAGACGGAGCCGAAGCGGCCCCGCGTGGACCCGTCCACCTCCCTGCTAGACCACCTGTCCTCGCCCATGTACAACCTGAGCAACGGCAGCGACCTCAGCGACGCGTCAGAGGCCAACAGCAGTGGGCAACAAGTCAAGGTCAGCAGAATGGGACCGGGAAAACCACGGGCTGATGACACGACCTGCATTCATTCGGAGCGTCAAATTTGTGCTGTATACTGCTGTGCTGTGTATTCCCCATGTGCAACAGAATACTCTGTGGAATGGTCAGTCTATTGTGGGCGGCGTTTTGACACCTGTTGGTTGTGTCACCATGTTTGACCCCTTGTTAAGACTGCGTTCGCCGGCTGACAGAACCTGTTCTGCGAGCGCAACATCGCGGCGCTGCAGCTGCTGGGCGCCGGCGACGTGCTGGTGGAGATGTGCCTCGGCCTGCCGCACATCGCCCGCTACCTGGCCCGCTACACCGAGTCACTGGAGACGGGCTGCCTCCAGCTGCCGGCCACGCTCACCGAGGCGGTCAGCGTCCGCTCCAGGTGCGACGTCACGGACGGGGTGACAGATCGGGTCTCAGCTGCTGGTCCGGGGAGGCCTGCTGACGGGAGCGATGCCAGGGTGGTGACTGGGTGGTTATGGCGTGTGCCGTGCTTGGTGTACATGAAAACGCTGTTGGGGCGGGTTCTTTTCATGTTTGTGCCAAGTGGTCGGAAGTGACGTGCGCAAGTCAGCACGGATATTACATATTGCATCGAATACGTGCACCGCTCTGTCCCGTCCCACCTTTCCATTCCTCCCCCAGTCGTCACGCCTCAGGTCTAACGTGGTGGCGGCGCTTCAGTCACTGACTTGTGACGCTTCATCCGCGCGCAATCCGCAGGCCCTCAGCTCCTCCATGGTGACGGTGCGACAACCTCTCACCGCCCCCCCCCCCCCCGCAGCCTGCAGACGCTCAGCTCCTCCATGGTGACGGTGCGACAACCTCTTACCGCCCCCTCCCCCCCCGCAGCCTGCAGACCCTCAGCTCCTCCATGGTGACGGTGCGACAACCTCTTACCGCCCCCTCCCCCCCCCGCAGCCTGCAGGCGCTCAGCTCTTCCATGGTGACGGTGCGACAACCTCTTACCGCCCCCCCCCCCCGCAGCCTGCAGACCCTCAGCTCCTCCATGGTGACGGTGCGACAACCTCTTACCGCCCCCTCCCCCCCCCGCAGCCTGCAGACCCTCAGCTCCTCCATGGTGACGGTGCGACAACCTCTCACCGCCCCCCCCCCCCCCGCAGCCTGCAGGCGCTCAGCTCTTCCATGGTGACGGTGCGACAGCCTCTCACCGCCCCCCCCCCCCGCCCCGCAGCCTGCAGGCGCTCAGCTCTTCCATGGTGACGGTGTGACAGCCTCTCACCGCCCCCCCCCCCCGCAGCCTGCAGGCGCTCAGCTCGGACGTGGTGATGGTGTGGCGGGCGCTCTCGCTGCCGGCGCTGGAGCCGCTGACGGCCGCCCGGCAGCAGCGGCTGGCGCAGCTCAGCGCCGCCTGCCTGCTGGCGGCGCTGACCGTAGCCGCCAGCGGCGCCGCCGTCGCCGCGCCCGACGACGCCGAGACGCACGCCGTCGACGTGGTGGTGCGCGCGCTCGAGGTGTACGAGTGCGTGCAGAGCGTGATGCGCGCCTCCACGCGCTCGGGCGGACACGTGAGTGGCGCCGGCGCACGGCTGGGCTGGGAGCCGGAGGGGAGGGCAGGGGACGGGGCCCGCTGTGATCACTGGTGGGAGGAGACGGCCTAGGCCGTTGCGCTCTGTGTTGTTAGCCTGCAGTGGTGTTAGATACTGTTTGTGGCGTCCTGCAACTTGAAGGACGCGTTGCGTATCAATGCACCATGCAGAAGTGCAGTTTTCGACAGTGCCTCACGCCGATGAAGCGGTCATTTTCTTGCACCGCCCTCGGACCCTGGGGGTGCAGTTTCTCTAACAAGCCTAAACTGGAAGCACATATCAGCATATTGCGAACGCCACCTCGTTCCATAACTGAACAACCCTGCGAACCCACGTTCCATAACTGAACAAGCACTCCTTGAGGGAGACGGTCTCGCTCTCGGTGACACGCTCGCCTGATGCGTCATGTGACGCCGCTGCTGCGCCGCCCCCAGTGCGTGCAGAACCTGCAGCTGATGGCGGCCCTGCTGCTGCTGCGGGGCATCCAAGCCTTCATGTTCGCCGTCAGCGCCATCGGCGACAAACAGGAGCGCGGCAAGTCGCCCGTCAAGGGCAAGGAGAGCAGGATCAACCTGCTCAAAGTGTAAGATGGTCGTCACAGTCGCAGACCGTGGTGGATCGGGGCCAGGGAACTATTGATTTTGATATAACTTATAAAGTTAGAACGCTACCATTTTGAATGCTACCATCTTTCACTTAACACTACTATTTAGCACGAGTTATTGTTCATGAATGGCTAGCACGGGTTTTTATTTTTTGCGAAGCTATACATGCAAGTTATTTAAGCTCGCTATTGTATAGCGTATCCGAGGAACATATGGCCCATAAGTATTGTGCATCTGTTGTCATATGCTGCATCTTTACACATGGTCGGAGTGCTGACGGTGGCGCTGACCTTCCCCTCTCCCTCTGTCCGGCAGTCAGCAGGGGTTCGGCGTGCTGGCGGTGGCGCTCACCTCCCCCTCTGTCCCCTGTCCGGCAGTCAGCAGGGGTTCGGCGTGCTGACGGTGGCGCTGACCTCCCTCTATCCCTCTGTCCGGCAGTCAGCAGGGGTTCGGCGTGCTGGCGGTGGCGCTGACCTCGCCGGCGCTGACGCTCGTCTCCAGCCTGCTGTCGGACGTGCGCTCGGAGACGGCCGTGTTCGGCGGGCCGCCGCTGCCGCCGGGCGGGCCGGCGACGCTGGCTACGGCCTGCTCGGCCGGCCAGCGCGCTGCCGCCCTGCTCTCGGCAGCGAACGTGACGCAGCTGCTCTTCAACGTGGCGGTGGCCAGCTACCGCAAGGCGTGCGCGCTGAGCGGCGGCGGCGGCGCGGCGGCCGGGGCCGTGGAGGGCGGAGACGTGTTCGGCCTTGCCACCGGTCCCGCCTTCACCGCCTCGTTTTACGTGGACGACTCGAGCGGCGACGAGGCCAGCTCGGGTGAGGGGAGGGGAGAGGAGTGGGTTGTTGGCAGACGGATCCGGTGATGTGGGGTTGCAGCGGAAGTCTAGGAAACACTTTTGGGACTGGAGCGGAAGAACGGAAATAAATCAACATGCTTAGCAATTACGTCCTAACAACCACTTAAGTTTGTTGAAGTTTTCCTGGTTATTCAGAAAACGCTACTCATGCTTATCACGTCAATCACATTATGGATTATTGTGGCTTTAGGACGTGCCATCAGAGATCACTGCGCTCGTGAAGTATCTGTCTTCCACTCAGTCGATCTGTTGTGTGGTGCGGGCATGAGCTCGCTGACACGTATGCCGTATGTGTCACTTGTAACAATCATTTCCATCCATTTCTACCGCGCTCGGATCACCCGTTAAGAGTTACCGTTCGACTTCTCCCTGGCGCATTTCTCGGCCCGCCCCCCTCCCCATCGCTCGCGTGCTGACCCGGCACCCACCGCCAGGTGACGAGGACGACTCGGTGCTGGGCCAGTGGTTCATGCAGACGCTGTACCCGGCTGGGCCCGCCTCGCCGCCAGCCTCGGCCGCCGCCTCGGAGCACGGCGGCGGCTCGGAGCGCGCCGCCGCCGCCGCCGCCGAGCCCAGCCTGGTGCCGGAGCGCGGCGAGCCGCATGGCGTACGTCAGCGGCGGGAGATGACGGCAGGAGGGCCGAGTGACGGCAGGGGAGGGGGAGTCCAGTGACTGCAGGGGGCCAAGTGACGACGGTGGGGCCGAGTGACGGCAGGGGGGGGGGGGGGTTCAGTGACGGCAGGGGGCCGAAGTGACGACGATGGGGACCGAGTGACGACGGTGGGGCCGAGTGACTGCAGGGGGGGGGGGGGGGGGAGTCCATGATGGCAGGAGGCCGAGTGACGGCAGGGAGGGGAGGGGATCCAGTGACGGCAGGGAGCAGAGTGACGGCTCGTGTTTTGGGCTCAGCTGGACGTCGGCGTGGGGTTATGGCGATGATGGGTATTGGCTTTGGAAATTGCGGGCGTCGTTAAAAAGTGAAAACGACGATCAAATACGGTTCAGAGGCTACTGGATTGGTTCGCTGAGCGGGCGGCGCTGGACTGAATGAAATGGATCGAAGGCGATACTCGCTGTGATTGACAGACCATAGTTTTTCGTTTGTAATTTCCTTCATATCGTGTCGCTGGTGCGATATAACCCAGACCCAGCGCGTTGCCTCTTGTCGCGTTCTTCACCGCGTCACATTCCACCCGGGGTGATTTGTAACCTTCACGGAACTAAATGTGGTCATTCAAGGCCACCCAAGTGTCGTCCTTCCACCGGGGAGCACTGTCGCAGCCGTCCGATCCCGCCACCGCCGCATCCTCAGCCCTCATCCGCAGTCAGACCCGACCCTGTTCGCTCCTGACGTCCGCTCCGCCGGCGCCGTTACAGTTCATGTCGCTGGCGTCGCACGTGCTGCGCCTGATCAACAGCGACCTGCTCGACTCGGAGTGCGCCGACGTGCGGCGCTACGTGCGTCAGGGCGTCACCGACTACCAGGTCACGCTGCTGGCCGCCATGGTGCGCGACGTCGGCTCAGGTTAGCACGCCCCCCCCCCCCCGTCCCTGGGGAGTACAACCTCGGGGCGGTTCTGCTACGACAGTTGGCAAATAACCGTTTCTTATGGCGTCTTCCGTCTTTCCTTTTGCATATTTTTTTTTCGCTCCGTTAATTTTTGTTTTCTTTCCATTCTGTTTCTTCTTTCTTTCTTTCGCGTGTGCTGGTGCCGGCCGAAGGATGGAGGGCAGCCTATCTGAGGCTTATTGCCAGCGGCGCGTTATTTCGTGCGGCGCATCGGATCTCGCCGTAGTTTTGCTGGGCGCCGTGCGTGGTGCACAGTGACGTGTTCCGGCACTCCAGGTCAGCCATTTGTACATGCACCCATAATGCGCGACCGAGGCCTTTGTGCTGTCCGTCGACTGGTGCGTCCCAGGACTCGCGTTGTGGCGCTGCCACCTCCGCCAGTGTCCGTCTCGTCACATAGCGAGCCTCTGCGCGTCGGTCGCGCCCGCGCCCGTGACAGCGCTATGACCCCGGCTGCGGCCGCCGCCCGGCAGGCAGCCTGGGCGCCGGCGTCAGCGCCGGCAGCATGATGAGCCTGTGCCACGAGTTCAGCGCGTCGCTGACGCGGCTGACGCACAACCTGCTGGCCACGCGGCTGCTGAGCACGCCGCTGCAGGAGACGCTGCTAGCGCAGCTCGGCCTCAGCCCCTGGCAGGAGGATGCCGACTGGCCGCTCAGCGTCAAGCCGCGCTCGCTGGCCGTTCTGGCGCAGGTGAGTCGACCGGCGCGTGCTGGCAGCGGCTAGGAGCGGGGCGTCGCCGGTATGAAGGAGGCTGGTGTGCGCGTGTGTGCTGTATGAGAGTTGGTACATGGCTGGCCTAGATGCCCAACTGAATGCAATGTGGCGAGGTGGGCTGCCTCCTTGGGGCACTGTCTTTGGGTAACTCCGTTAGATAGAGCTATTTGGCAGTCCATTGAGGGCCCGAATAGGTAAGTGGCGGATGTGCATCCTCCTGGGTTACTTGAATTTGTTGGAAGGCAGGCGTGCACAATTGGAGAGGTCAAAAATACCATGGGTTTCGTGCCTGTCGCGCGGTCGGTGATCTTTCGTACAGCGTCCACCGCTCTTATCTCGTCACCGAGTTTATGGCAGCAGGGCTGGCGCGATGACGTGAGTGTGTCGCCCCGTGCTCTAACGCCTCTGCCCGGCGCCGTCTGCAGGTGCTGCTGCTGAACCAGGAGGGGCCGGGGCCGGACCAGCTGGACGGCCGCCAGGCGACCGTGCTCATCTGGTCCAGCCTGCTGCGCACACTGACCCGGCGCATCCTCGGCGACGCCGAGGCAGACGGCGATGGTCAGTGCTCCCGGTCCGAGTCCGGGGGATGGGCGGGATGGGTGGGGCTCGCCCGCCAGGCGTCCCGGCGACGAGGCGAGGTGTGGCCGGAGGTTTGGACGGGCTCTGTACGAATGTACAGATGGTACGTACAGATGGTCTGTACGGATGGTATGTACAGAAGGCAGGCCTGAATGTCAACGCGGTTGTGTACGGGGCTCAGGTGGCCGCCATCAATACATACACTATAGCAGAGAGTGGCCTGGACAGTTGCGCATAATATGTATGTAGCGCGTGGCCCCTGGTTTTTTTACAGCTCGGGTCGGGCTGCCTGAGGAAGTTGTGCATTGCCTTCTGCCTGCCACTAATTACGTGGTATAAATGGCGTTCATCACGGCAGGTGCAAACTCGGGCCTGCGCAAAACAGACTGACAGGCCAGCCAATGTCCTGAGTTTAGGACTGGATTGTTCGCGTCAATCTGTCCAAGCGGCAGCAGTGCCCGGCGTCTAATGCGGTCACAGCTTGACCTCTGCTGTGTCGTTGCGGCGGTGTTCGGCTCTCCGATGGTGCCGACCGGTGACGGCGCCTTCTATTGACCAGACCTGAACGTGGAGCACGCCCAGCTGCTGCTCTTCCTCTTCCACTCGCTGGAGCTGATGCAGAAGAAGAACGTACTCATCCAGTGCGCCGACGTCATCATCAAGGTACAGCCTGCACTTCACAAGACCGCTGGAAAGTCCATGACCGACTGCCTAGCATGCTGTAATGTTGAGTTCTGGGCGGAGCCTCTCGTGTTATGTGACTTGTCAGTGAGCTCTGGTTTAGTTGGCTGGCATCCTGCTTCAGTCGGGCGACATTTCTCAGGTGATATACTGTGTTGTCTGCTGTCTGTGTCGATGGCTGTCAACCTTTGTCTCCCTTATTGTGACTTTCAGTAGGAATCTGGTCTCAGCCAGTGCTCCAGCCTCGGACACTGCTGTCCCAGCTGGTGCCTGAGGCTCAGCCTCGTTGTCACAGAGTCGATGCCCTAGTCCCAGCACCACTGTCCAGCTGGTGCCTGGGGCTCAGCCTTGTTTTCCCAGAGTCGACGCCCTGGCCCCAGCACCGCTGTCCCAGCTGGTGCCTGAGGGTCAGCCTTGTTGTCCCAGAGTCGACGCCCTAGCTCCAGCACCAATCGCAGCTGGTACCTGGGACTTAGCCTTGTTTTCCCAGAGTTGACACCCTAGTCCCAGCACCGCTGTCCCAGCTGGTGCCTGAGGCTCAGCCTTGCTGTCCCAGAGTCGACGCCCTGGCTCCAGCACCACTGTCCCAGCCGGTGCCCCGCCGTAGTCGCCAGCCTGCCTCAGTCGACGTCTGGCTCTGCCGCAGGTGGCTCCCGCGCTGGATGCACCCATGTCGGCGGCCCAGGTGCTCCACCTGGCTCGGCTGCTAGTCGTGTTCGAGTATATGGTGCGCAACCTGTACGACGCGCCCTCCTTCCTCATCGACCAGGTGCGTGGACAGGACCGGTGCCGCGGTGTTTGGGGTCGGCTGGGGGAGGCAGGCGCGAGGGCTGTGCTAACGGAGGAGAGGCAGCCGACTGCCAATGGGGATGGGTTGGGGCTGTACAAGCCAGCGGCAGACGCGGCTTAGATGCGCTTAATCGTCGTTGGCGCTTTACGACGCACTCAGCTTCTGAGGCCTCGCTGGGTCGCCTGTTTCATCCTGATGGGCAGGACGGGCGCCCCAAGGATGTGTTGCATACTACACTGCCTATCAGGCAGTGTAGAGGCGAATGGCGGGACTGAATCGTTTCTGTGCGGGCTCATGCTTTACTCGCGTATTTTATGTATGCCCGTATGTTGCCTGCAATTGATGTGCAGATGTATTAGGCGTGACACGTTTGAGAGAACACGACTGCGTGCGGAGTATCGTTAATCTCTCTTTTGCCGAGCCTCCATTGTATGGTGGTGTGCTGGTGTTCTGTCGGCCTGCGGTGGTGGAGCGCCGCAGCTGACGCCCGCGCCGGCCGCCAGGTGCGGAGCAACCTGCTGGGCCGCGTGCCGGGCGCCGAGAAGCTCTACATCCCGTGTAAGGAGGTGGAGGGCGTGGCCGAGAGCCGCGCCGGCGCCGGCGGTGGCGGCGAGCCGCCCTGCTTCTACAGCCTGACGCACTCGGACAGCGGCGGCGGCGACCCGCTCCGGCTGGACGGACTGGTACGACACTGCGAGCCGAGCTGCACCCGGGCCGGGGGGGGGGGGGAGGGGAGGGGGGGGGGGGACGGTACGGTTTAACGGGCCGTCTACCTGCGGATTGATGCCCGCTCTATGGGCCGGGGTATTTGTGTTTTGTGTCTCTGTGTGCCGCCATAGGTATGGGTTTGTGAACCCCGCGCGTCTTGTTGCCTGGCTGGTCAGAATCTTCTTTATCCTCTTAGATACAAGTGCTTATATGTCTTGCACTCTTGCGAACGCTGTCGATGACAGCTGAAGCTTTGCTTGTGTCTAGCACATGTTATTTATAGGTACTGATAAATATCGTACATGACGACATGAATGGGTTATCTATTCATACTTCATTAATGGTGGAGGGGCTCTCCCAGCGCCTGATCTCAAACTCGGCACCTACAACGCTGCGCGCTATCCCCGTGGTCGGTCCTCACGCCGCGCCCCTGACGGCCGCTCTCCGGGCGCGCCACCCTCGCGCCGTGCCCCTGACGGACGCTGTCCGAGCGCGCCACCCTCGCGCCGTGCCCCTGACGGACGCTCTCCGAGCGCGCCACCCTCGCGCCGTGCCCCTGACGGCCGCTCTCCGGGCGCGCCACCCTCGCGCCGTGCCCCTGACGGCCGCTCTCCGAGCGCACCACCCTTGCGTCGTGCCCCTAACGGCCGCTCTCCGAGCGCGCCACCCTCGCGCCGCGCCCCTGACGGCCGCTCTCCGGGCGCGCCACCCTCGCGCCGTGCCCCTGACGGACGCTGTCCGAGCGCGCCACCCTCGCGCCGTGCCCCTGACGGCCGCTCTCCGGGCGCGCCACCCTCGCGCGGTGCCCCTGATGGACGCTGTCCGAGCGCGCCACCCTCGCGCCGTGCCCCTGACGGCCGCTCTCCGAGCGCGCCACCCTTGCGTCGTGCCCCTAACGGCCGCTCTCCGAGCGCGCCACCCTCGCGCCGCGCCCCTGACGGCCGCTCTCCGGGCGCGTGCTGCAGGCGAGCAGCTTCCTGCTGAGCACGCCGGACGCGCTCGACTACCGCGCCTTCTACGTGGCGCTGGTGGGCCTGCTGCGCGTGGGCGGCCAGGCGGACCTCGAGGCGCGCGTCGCGCCACTGACACCGGCCGGCCGCGTCAACGTCCACTACTGCTTCACCATCGCCTGCCGGTGAGCGGCCGCTGCAGCGGTGGGCTGTGGGACGGGTGCTAGTGAATGGCAGCCAGCTGGGACACGAACACCACGTTGGGTGCGTAGATGCGGGATGGGATCGCACAGAGGACGGCGATATGGGGAAACTTTGGCGGCGAGTGGGTAGCTGGCCAGTTTGCTACAGTGGTGGGATTCTTCAGTGTGTAAATGGGAAGCACCATTGTGCTACAGTGGTGGGATTCTCCAGTGGGCGGATGGGAAGCACCAGTGTACTTTAGTGGTGGCATTCTCCAGGGGGTAGGTAGGCAGCACCATTTTTTTCAGTGGTGGGATTCGCCAGCGGGTGGATGGGCAGCACTAGCGTGCTACGGTGGTAGGATTCTCTAGTGGGTAGGTGGGTAGCACCAGTTTTCTTCAGTGGCGGGATTCTCCAGCGGGCGGGTGGGTTGACGCCATCGCTGTGTCTCCGAGTGAGAGGTCTCCAGCGAGTAGGGCGGCGCCGCCGGCGTGTGCCAAGCGCTGCCGATCTGCCGTGACGGGCTCGGTGGCCGTGTCCGCACTCGTCCGCCGGCCCGCTGACGCCGGCCGCGCCGCCAGGCTCTGCGGTCTCGCTGCCGCCGTCGGAGGAGTTCCTGGAGCAGATGTGCGCGGGGCGCTGAGGAGGGCGCCCGGCCCGCTGCTGCACTCGCTCGTCTGGGGACCCGCGCGCCGCCGACCGCTCTACGCCAGCACCATCAAAGGTCCCGCCTGCTGCGCCGGCTGCGGGTGACCGTCGGCTTTGTCGCCGCCAGCGTTGACACCGGTCGCGATGTGTGGAGGTGGTGGCGTTGTAGGCCCCGATGAATCAGTGACTGCTGTTTCTGCTAATTAGAATGACCTTGTTGGAGCAAACGTTTCCCCACAGAAAGATACATCGAATAGGAGGCAGTGCTTCAGGCTCATCTCCCAGGGTACTAGGCTTCCATCCCGAACACTGAATAGTCACCGGGACCATTCGCGATTAGAGCTGGTTGGTTGTTTACAAAAGAATGTATGTACGTCTGGAGAAATATTTCCTGAACTATTTATAAGGGGCTGCTCCTCCAGCCTTCCGCGTTTGTTCCACCTGCGCCGAATCATGCACAGTCAGTCGCCTCGCCCGGTACGCCTGCGTCCATGACGTCGCCATCCCCCGCTCTACAGGATGCGCTGGTGAAGCAGGGCCTGTCGGCGCACAAGGCCGACAGGCCTGCTGGACAACGTCAGCCGCCAGGTGGGGGACGTCGGCCGAGACGTGGACCTGGGTGCAGCGCATGGCGGCCCGGCTGCGCGCCGCCCAGCGACCCCGCTGCTCGGACGTGGTCGCCCTGCACGCGGCCATCGCCAAGACACAGGTGCGGCGGCGCAGGGGACGGCAGGTCTGGCCGGCTGACCCCCTCGAAAGGGCTGCCGCTGGGGCAGTCCGGGTGGCGGCGGTGGACTTGTGCACTTTTTCGTGGTTGAGACGGAGGGGTGAGCCGCCCGGTCGCGTACGTCTACGATGATTTGATTCATGCTTGGTTAACATATTTTTGTGTAGTGTGTGGAAGCTGTGAACACCAATTTTATTGTTGCTTTTGGCCATGGGTTGTAAGTGGAATTATTTGCTGGCACACCCAGAGCTCCAGTCATCATTGCCACTACCGCAATGGACGCAATAGTCATTCATTGCTCTCAAGCCGTTCCTGTGGACAGGTGAGCCTGGACGAGGCGTTCAGCCGGCCGGCGAGCGACGCCAGCCGGGTGATCGAGCCGGCGGCGGGAGGACAGGAGGCGGCCGAGGTGGCGCGCCGTCTGCTGCCCGTCGTCGTCAGCCTCATCGACACCGTGTCCGGCTGCATCAGGTGAGTGTGGCGGCGGACTGACGTGGGGGTCGGACGGAGGCCGGCCGGGTGCCGCGTCAGGCGGGGGCGAGACGCTGGGCTTACGGACGGTGTTCGGGGCTGTGTCAGATGGGGGGGGGGGGGCAACGGGACAGGGTGTTGAGTGCTGTGTCAGACGGGGTTCGTACACCAGGCCGGGCGACGACGATAGCACTAGAGCAGCGGGTGGGCTTCATCTTACGCGCCAACACTGTGTCTGACATCGGGCGCGTTCTGTTCGGCGCGAGACGAGACTCTGGCACCAGCTCATTGTGCTGCTATGGTGACACGTGCTGTGAGGATCGCCGAGACATGGGCCGGTGCGTTGGAGCGGCCACCCGATTCCGCTGGGTAGAACGCCACGGCAGTAGTAGCATGAGCACCGCTCCGCGAACCGCCATCGGCTCCGGCACTGGCGCCGACCGGCATGTCGGCTGACCTCGGCGCTGCCCGCAGGTCGAGCCTGCTGCAGTGCCTGACGGAGCCGGAGGGGGACGCCGAGCCGCCGTCGTCGGCCACGCTGCGCGCCTACGACCACCTACTGAGCGTGGTGTCGCCGCGCGCCGCCCAGCAGTTCCCGCTGGCGGACGGGTGCGCCGCGTGCCTGCCGCCGGCGCTGCGGCGCACGCTCGACGACTGGCACGCGGCGGCCGCCGCCGACCTCGGCTTCTCGCAGAACTGGGTCAGTGGCGCGCCCGTGGACTCGCGACGCGGCAGCGGCCGCCGTTAGGAGCGTGCAATGAGGGGGCCAGTGCGAATGCACGGGATGATAGGGCTGTTTTGAGACCTACCGGTAACACTGCATTGCTTGCGTAATGACGCGTGTCGTTTGCTAGCGTACGGACGTCGTCAGCTGTCGCCGGTGTCTGTTGCCTGTTGGCCGCGGGGTGACGCCGGAGACGTCGGTCGGTGCCGCAGAAGGCGCGGTACGGCGAGCAGCCGCTGCCGTCCGAGGGCTACATCACGTCCGTGGTGCTGGCGCACGCTTCCACCCTGTCGGGCGTGGCCAGCCACAGCATCGGGCTCTCGCTCAAACACCTGCTGCACTGCCTGGTGCGCGTGGCCGAGGCGCTCTTCACGTGAGTGAGACGCGGCCGGCGGCCGGCGCGGGGAGCAGGCGCCGTGCTGGGGGAGGCGGCCGGTCTGTGCGCCGCTTGGTCATCACAGTGGACTGCGGTACTGTTGGACGTTTTGTGGGAGGTGCGAGGACGTTGACGTGCTGGCGTCATGCGCGCAGACACGTTAGCTGCGGTTCCGTAGGCGTCTGGCATCATCGTGCATGCGGCAGACGTGTGAGTAGGGCGCGTCCGTCGTGTAGATGCCCCCAGGGCGTCCCTCCGCCTGACCGTTCAGCTCACTCTCAGGGCGTGAACCGCTGACCTGCGACCCTCGCCTCTCCTGTCCTTCGTCTCGAGCTGGCAGCCCTCGTCTCTCCCCTGCGGAGAGCTCCCGATGTCTGGCCTGCCCCGCACCCAGCCCTCGTCTCTTCCCTGCGGAGGGCACCCGATGTCTGGCCTGCCCCGCACCCAGCCCTCGTCTCTTCCCTGCGGAGGGCTCCCGACGTCTGGCCTGCCCCGCACCCAGCCCTCGTCTCCCCTGCGGAGGGCTCCCGATGTCTGGCCTGCCCCGCACCCAGCCCTCGTCTCTTCCCTGCGGAGGGCACCCGACGTCTGGCCTGCCCCGCACCCAGCCCTCGTCTCTTCCCTGCGGAGGGCTCCCGATGTCTGGCTTGCCCCGCACCCAGCCCTCGTCTCTTCCCTGCGGAGGGCTCCCGATGTCTGGCCTGCCCCGCACCCAGCCCTCGTCTCTTCCCTGCGGAGGGCACCCGACGTCTGGCCTGCCCCGCACCCAGCCCTCGTCTCTCCCTGCGAAGGGCTCCCGATGTCTGGCTTGCCCCGCACCCAGCCCTCGTCTTCCCCTGCGGAGGGCTCCCGATGTCTGGCCTGCCCCGCACCCAGCCCTCGTCTCTTCCTGCGGAGAGCTCCCGATGTCTGGCTTGCCCCGCACCCAGCCCTCGTCTCTCCCTGCGGAGGGCTCCCGACGTCTGGCCTGCCCCGCACCCAGCCCTCGTCTCTCCCCTGCGGAGGGCACCCGACGTCTGGCCTGCCCTGCACCCAGCCCTCGTCTCTTCCCTGCGGAGGGCACCCGACGTCTGGCCTGCCCCGCACCCAGCCCTCGTCTCTCCCCTGCGGAGGGCTCCCGATGTTTGGCCTGCCCCGCACCCAGCCCTCGTCTCTTCCCTCTGGAGGGCTCCCGACGTCTGGCTTGCCCCGCACCCAGCCCTCGTCTCTTCCCTCTGGAGGGCTCCCGACGTCTGGCCTGCCCCGCACCCAGTCCTCGTTTCTTCCCTGCGGAGGGCACCCGACGTCTGGCCTGCCCCGCACCCAGCCCTCGTCTCTCCCCTGCGGAGGGCACCCGACGTCTGGCCTGTCCCGCACCCAGCCCTCGTCTCTTTCCTGCGGAGAGCTCCCGATGTCTGGCTTGCCCCGCACCCAGCCCTTGTCTCTTCCCTGCGGAGGGCACCCGACGTCTGGCCTGCCCCGCACCCAGCCCTCGTCTTCCCCTGCGGAGGGCTCCCGATGTTGGCCTGCCCGCACCCAGCCCTCGTCTCTTCCCTGGAGGGCTCCCGACGTCTGGCTTGCCCCGCACCCAGCCCTCGTCTCTTCCCTCGGAGGGCGACGTCTGGCCTGCCCCGCACCCAGCCCTCGTTCTTCCCTGCGGAGGGCACCCGACGTCTGGCCTGCCCCGCACCCAGCCCTCGTCTCTCCCCTGCGGAGGGCACCCGACGTCTGGCCTGTCCCGCACCCAGCCCTCGTTCTTTCCTGCGGAGAGCTCCCGATGTCTGGCTTGCCCCGCACCCAGCCCTGTCTCTTCCCTGCGGAGGGCACCCGACGTCTGGCCTGCCCCGCACCCAGCCCTCGTCTCTCCCCTGCGGAGGACACCCGACGTCTGGCCTGTCCCGCACCCAGCCCTCGTCTTCCCTGCGGAGGGCTCCCGATGTTTGGCCTGCCCCGCACCCAGCCCTCGTCTCCCCTACGGAGGGCTCCCGACGTCTGGCCTGCCCCGCACCCGGCCATC